AACAATACCACCAAATCCAAAATAACAAAGGAGGTAAGAAATCTCAACATCAATGCCCACAACCAATTTGTGTTCTACTCGTGCATAACATCTACGCATAGACCTAGCTTATGATGCCACTCATGGGGAACGTTGCATGGAAAACAAAAAAATCCTACGAAGCACCCAAGATCTATTCTATGGAGATGCTCGCAGCGAGAGGGGGTGTCTACATGCCCTTGTAATCCCAATACTACCCTACGGGTTCGAGAACATATAGACATGACCGAGACTCCTCTCCGATCAATAATCAATAGTGGGACCTGGATTCCCATATTGACTCCCACATATTTAACAAAGATCTTTATCGGTTTGAACAAACGGTGTCGAGGATTCGGTTAATCCCGTATACAATTCCCTTTGTCTAATGATATATTACTTGCCCGAGATTCGATTGGTGGTATCGCCATACCTAGTTCAATCTCTTTACCGAAAGTCTCTTTACTCGTTGTGTAATACAAGCCCGTGACTAAACTCATTAGTCACATGCTTGCAAGCTATTTCATGACGTTGTACTACCGAGAGGGTCCAGAGATATTTCTCCATCACACGGAGCGACAAATCCCAGTCTTGATCTATGCAACCCAACAACACTTTCCGAGATATCTGTAGAGCTCCTGTATAATCATCCGAAGTGACATTTGATAACCCACAAAGTGAACAAACCGGCAACACGGGTGGCATTAAGATCAAAGAGGAGGCACCACCAGGATAATCGGCACAAAGTCACCCGTTTCAGACGATCCGTCCCGAAGCCAATGGAGAAGCGGGACACGATCAGGTCATGTCCGAGACGGTACCATAGGTTGACGGCGTCGTTGACATGCACGACTACTCCGGAAACTTGGGTGGACGGGTCGCCGGGTCGGCCCTTGGTACCGTTGCGCGGCCTTGGCGACAAGGGCATCACTCTCCACAGCGACGGTCGGGGCTTTAGCTATAGCAGCTTCTTTTTCACCATCACGGCAGCTTCTTCTGGCCAACAGCACGGGCGGCCGCGATAGCGACGTTGCCAGCCAAGAAGGGGGCAGTGGCAGGAAGCATATTGGGACGTGTCTTTTTGTCCATCTAGACTCAAACGGACACAAGCAGACTAAATGGGTTGGGTCGGCGCATCGGAGTTGGCCTTGGGTATCCGAATTTGCACACCAACTCTTGAGCGAGTTAAAAGGCCGAGTTTCCATGTTTAAGGCGGTCCTTTTTAGGGAATCTGCTGGAGTTGCTCTCATACTTCTCTGAATCGATTGAGACATGAGAAAATCCCAGTTGGTTGCTTGAAACGTACCAAAACTGAATGATCAAAACAAAGGGGCATGATCGCAAAGAAATATTTCCAAGGACGAGTTGCTGTAATTATAAGAAATATTTCTAAGGATGAGTTGCTGTAATTATCTATGTACCGCTAATAAAAACTTCTCATTCCAAACAAAATTATTCAGAAAAATTCCGAGCTAGCAAAAGCTGTAATGAAATTGTGCAATAGTGCACATGCAGACAGAAAATGAGAAACATAGGATGCCGGTATGAGTTTAAAACTTGTAAGAAACCCAGCCGGGGTTTTGTTACATGTCACTTTCAAGGTGAAACAGGCCCTTCACGAAAGAGCTTTCTGCACCTCGGCGGTCACTTCCTTTGGTGGTTTCTCCGCATGAAGATTTGCCACTAAGCCATTCTTGGAGTAATAGTCAATCACCTGTGAGAAGCAAACAGTTTTCAGATTAAGAACATTGACTGTAAAAGCAACTGCATTGCTTGATGCCAGACGACAAACAGTCCTTCCACAGTTAGAAACTCAGTACTACCAACAGAAGTTCAGGCCATAAGATGATATGTCGACCAACAAAAGATTAGTTAAATGGAAGGTTGGAAGAGAAAGCAGAAAAGAAATGTCAGGGTCCACCAAATTCACAGTGAAAATCTTATGCAACACTATACTAGAAGTGAAATACATCAAGACAGCAAAACCAGAGTTTAGCAGGAAAAACACTGGTGCAACACAAGGAATGGAGAATACATGGTTGAGAAAACATACAGGTTCAGTTTGTATGTGGAAAGCTTCAAGCCTCGACTTCAAGACCTCCGTTGTGTCATCTTTTCTTTGAATTAAGGGTTCTCCCGAAACCTTGACAAAAGAGGGAAGTATCAGAGGTCAATGGTTTGCAGCAAAATGCTAGTTTATAATTTAAGAAAAAAATTGTCAATGGAATTAAAAAAATTCACACGTGCCCACGTAATTTCTGAATGGAACATGCGAGCTCTTGTTGAAAACAACAGCCCACAACCAAAGATCAATGTACAACAATAATGTATATTCCTTCCGTCCCATAATATATTGTGCATTGGTTTTCGCAAAAGTGGAGCTTCACAAACTTTGACCATTGTTTGTATAGTATATGAATACATATTTCATGATGAATCTAACACTGCGTTTGGATGTCTGCATTGGAGCCCTGGAAATGGATTTGGTAATCATCTCACATCAATACCAGCTGTTTGGCTGGACACTGAATTCGTATTGGACATGAAAAACCAATTCAGTCCTGTTTTGGCTACCACGTAAATCCCCCTCGCACATTTCGGAGGGCTACCCCTTCGAATAGGACTGAAATGGCCAACCTCACGCAAAACGTACCTGTTCGAGCCCACGGCCAGAAAATAGAAGAAGAAAGGAGGGGACACGAGAAGGCGACCTCGCGACCACCATGGAGTCCGACAGCGGCACACGTGCCCTCCTCCCCGGTCCTTCCCCTCTTCCCCAACTCCTCTTCTCCGCCCCACTGAGCCACACCCCGCCATGGAGGTCGGCAACAGCACAGGACCGGCGCGTCCCGCTCCCTTGTGCCACGCCCCGCCGTCCTCCCCGACCACCGTGCCCCGCCCTCCACGGCCACGCCCCTCCGTCCTCCCGGCCCGCCGTCCTCCGCCCCTCTTCTGCTCCATGGCCGAAGGAACTGCTGCTCCTCTTCTGCTCCATGGCCAAAGGAGATGCGTCGCTAGAATATTTATTATCTTACTGCTATATATTCATTTAATTATAGTCACATGTGACCAGATTTCATTTTTGAGTCCTGTAGAACAAGGTACTCCCTCCGTCCACTTTTGTAAGTCGTTTCAGACAGCTCAAAATGGGCTGTTTTGCACATTGTCTGAAATGTCTTCAAGGTCTTATAAAAGTGAACAGAGGGAGTATAATTTTCATGGCAATATAGCTATGCAATTCCAAAGTTTGTTGTTCAAACAGGATTTGGTATTGAAACCTCAGAGGCATTTCAAGGGGCAATTCAGTGAACAACCAAACAGGCGAATTCGTATTCGTGCCATTTCAATTTCCTCACTGATTTGGAATTCCAGACCAATTCAATACAGAGCTCACCAATGGAGACATCCAAACGCAGCGTAATGGTATTGATTTGGTATTTTACATGTTGACAATATTTTTCATAAACTTAGTCAAAGTTTATAAAGTTTGACTGAAAAAAATATCTAATGCACACTATTTTGGGACGGAGGGAGCATTATTTACTTATTGCAAAAGCATGTAAAATTAATTTTTGGAAAGACCATATGTCATTGAAGGAGAGGAAATATCAATAATCCTACACTTCCGGGTAAGTTACGGACTGGGTTTACGACCCATCTCTATTGACAACCAAACTGATGGAGTGTTATGCAGAAGAAGACATTGAACTGCTCAGAACTTAACCTTGTGGAAGCAATGATCACGATAAAAAAATAAAGCATGCAAGTATGGCATATGAAGGCACTACCCAGTATTCTACATTTGACTTACATCATCAACTCCTGGAGTCTTAGGAGGAGCAAATTTTGTATGGTAAGATCTACCACTCGATGGGTGTATCCAACGGCCAGTAATTCGTTCTTCCAATATTGCATCATCAATTGCAAAATTTAGAACCTTGTCAACCTTAGCACCTTGCTTTGCCAGCATTTCATCGAGCTGCAGTCATTGTTCAACCAAACCATAAGAAAACAAACACTAAGCTCCCAAGGCATAAATCATCCATCAATATAAATAAGAAGAAGGAATTTTCATTTCGATGTATATTGACCAAGGACCTGACCAGACCTTTTGTGCTTGAACAACAGTTCTAGGGAAGCCATCAAGGATAAAACCTTTTTGACATGAAGGTTTTTTCATGGCTTCATCAATAATCCCAACAACCAAGTCATCTGAAACAAGCTCTCCCTAAAAACAATAAGAGTCAAGAAATAAAGAAATTGATAGACATGTTTCAAATTGCTATTTGGTATGTTCTTGAAACCTTACCTTGTCCATAGCTTCTTTAGCCTTGATACCCAGAGGAGTCTTAGCGGTGACAGCAGCCCTCAGCATATCGCCAGTGGCTAAATGGCACAAACAATATTCATCTTTAATAAGGGGAGACTGTGTTCCCTTTCCAGAGCCAGGAGGACCTACAGAATTTGTAAAGCACTTGCATATGTCAAATTGCCCAAGCATAATGCAATTTAGAACATAAACAGTGGCACTATGTGTTCAGGAATTAAAGATGAACCAGAGCATACACAATCAAACGCACATGCAATACTATATTCTTTTAGGGGGGCTGTGGGGTAATCTGTCTGGTATTCGATAGTTGGGGGGATTAAGTAGCTATTTTGGAGTTGAGGGAGTGATGTAGCTGAATCATAAAACTTCAGAGGGTACGTCCACTTATTTCCAGAACGAGGAACAGCAAGGACGAGGAACCCAGCTCCAGATCCAGCCAACAGCAACAAGCTGCGAGCAGCAGCGACCCTATCGCGCCAACGATAACAGATCTGGCGGCGCGACCGACTGGGCACCACGACTGCAGCTTCAGATCCGTAACGACCAGACCGCACGTTGATGGACGTGGGAAATCCAACTGCGCTGGCCGCCGAGCCTTCCTCAGCAACGCCCGCCGCTGAGCCTCGAGCGCCGCGCAGCTGAAGCCGCCGACCACCAAGGACACTAACCGCAAGGACCCGCACCGCCACCGCCTGCGGAACTACGCGCCACCGAACCCACCAGACGATGCGAGCTGGAAAGACCCCGCCGCCGCCGTAAGACGCAAGGGCTAGGGTTAGAACGGCGGCAGAGTCACCCTGGCGAGAGCGAAGCCGGGGCCGAGCCGTTGGGATCTTTTGGTGTAGAAGAAGAAGAGAATTGGGAAAGAAGAGAAGGGCTAGGGTTTTACCGACGAGGATGATGCGCTTGTCGGGCTTGGAGCTGCACTTGGCGCGGCGGAGCAACTCGGTCATGAGCTCCACCGAAGGCACGTCCTCGATGTTCGTCGCCATCTCTTCCTCCGCCGGCCGCAACAACGGAACGACTCGACTCGCGTGCCTGCTGTTTGGCGTGCGGCGCACAAGTCCTATCTCTCTCTTGCTGCGTGCCTCCCTGGGTCAGTTCGCGTCGGCTCTGATCGGGGGTTTTGTAAAGAGTGGGTTTGGTGAGCGCCTAGCCGGGATGCTGCCGAAAATCCGCATCTGAGCCCGGCCTCATATGCTCCCTCAGAAAAAATTCAAAATAAATATTAAAAGAATCTAAAAAAATTATGTGGTAGGTAATTTGATGCGTGAGGTCCGCTTCAAATTTCAACTCATTTGGATATCTGAACAACTTTTAACAAAAAAGACAAATCGAGTCAAAACAGATCGTGGACAATAAACATTTTTACAGACCCCGATTTTGTCTTTTTTGCAGAGAACTTCTCAAATATCCAAACGGGTTAAAAGTTGCAGCGAATCTCGCGCATCAAATTATCTATCACACAAAAAATGGATTTTTATTTTATTTTTTCTAGTATTTATTTTGATTTTTTTCGTTGAAGCGGGTGCAGCTAAGCCCGGGAGCCAAATTGACCTTCTCGGATGTTGCTCTCTTTTCTCTTCTTTCCATACCGAAATTCAATTCGACTCCGGGAGCACGTGCTCCCAGGCCTAAAATAATTTTTGAAATGTAAAAAATATCAAGACAAAATTTTCATGTTTTTTCAATCACATTCAAATGCTACCTGTAGAATTTGGGGCAAAAAGGTTAAGCATTTTGGCCTGTGAAAAAAACAAATTAAACACCAAACGTTACCCCCAATTGTCACCCTAAATTTATTTTCCATCCATGAAACACTGCCGCTCCGTTTCACGTGAAAACGGTCAAGCATGCTTGCGACACTAACACAAACATCCACAGAAAAATTCAGAATTTTTTAAAACATTTACTATTTCTTCGTGTGACTGTTCATGCAGGAGCATAGTAAATGTTTTAGAAAAATTTGAAGTTTTTTATGAATGTTTGTGTTAGCGTCGCAAGCATGTTTGACAATTTTCATGCGAAACAGATCAACAATGTTTCGTCTATGAAAAAACAAATTTAGGGTGAAATTTGGGGTAACATTTGGTGTTTAATTTGTTTTTTTTCTTTGCACAGGACAAAATACTTAACATTTTTGTCTCAAATTTTGCAGGTAGCATTTAGATGTGACTAAGAACACATACACATGTTGTCTTGATTTTTTGACATTTCAAAAGTTATTTTTTGGGCCTGGGAGCACGTGCTCCTGAGAGCCAAATTGAATTTTCATTGTTTTAACGCTCACTTGCATCATTTATAAGACTACACATAGTGGGAGTAACATAAGGTTGCCTTTAGTGGACAATATCGTAGCTTAGTACTTACCTCATGTTACTAGTCTAAGTTACTCTCCACTATGGTTAGTCTTATGACCAATTTAAATGGTAACATCACACATATCTAGACAAATTAGATGATGTGGCAAATAATTAGTAAGGAAAGAGAGGCATGTGATAACGTAATATGTTACTCACACTATGGGTAACATCAGACATACCAAGACAAGATGAGTCTATAACCTAATAAATAATGTGTTAGATGACATCACACATATTTTACTCTCTAGTATAGTATAGAGATGGTAACATAGAATAGTAACATATGTTACACCCACTAAGACCCCTCTAAGAGCATTTACAGATGTCGGCTCCCCTAAACCCGTGTAAGCCCGGGCGGACGACCCGGTCGTTGAACGGTAAAAAAATACCAACCTAGACGGACGCATCATACCAGCCCCAAATGCCCGGGCTGCGGAACCCCTCATATGCAACCCAAATCTTAGGCGGACTGTGACGCCTCCAAAATTAATCGTGCACTAAACATCCATCAGTATGCACGATCAAAATAAGTGACTCACGGTATAATATCACAACACAACTCTACGACTCAAATTTAAACAAAGAAACAATATATTAGAAGCCAGGGTCATAAGACTCAAAATTACATCAAAAGTTAGGTCTGAGTACAGACATTTACAAAGGTGCCTTAAGAAGGCGAAAACAAACAACGACTAAAAGGCGCAAGCCTCCTGCCTGGAACCTCTGAACTACTCCTGGTCGTAGGTCTTCAAGTAGCAATCATTGGTGAAGGAACCTGCATCCGGGCCACTACTATCTGATAGCAGCGATCGGGTTGGATGAAAAAAAGTAGAAAGCAACGGTGATTACTCATCTAAAATACTTGCAAGACTTACATCAGATCTATACTCGATATGCATCGATATCAAAGGAATAGTGTAATATCTATGGACTAAACTGCAGAACGCCAGAATAAAGGGGGAAACTCAAAGTAACAACTATCCACCGGCATCTTGCAACATGAGGTGAGAATGAAGCCCCTTGCGACATGAGGTGAGAATGAAGCTTCTTGCAGCATTAGAAGAGAATGAGAACAATCTTGTCACCTTGAAGAGAAAGAGCGCAAACGAATACAAGTAACCATTACAACAATACACCACCCTTGGATTCAATTCCTGTGAGGAAGCGGTCCTCGGGTGTGCTACAATTCTTGGTGAGTTTTATAAATTATCGAGTTTAAGTTGTAGAAGCTCGGGGTACAACACCAAGTCGACATATTACTGTGGACACGGCTATTCAAATAGTTTAACTTCCATGAAGGTGATAGAGGCGAAGGTGTCCCGATGTTTCGATGATATGGTGGCTATCGTTTTCTGTGGGAGTCGACCTTGACGATCCGACTACGAACGTGTGAGACGTCGCGCCTTAGCAATCGCTAAACCAACTTCCGAGGGGTTATTGACCACGCCAGAGCATGATCAACCTGACCACTAGGGTCTGTTTCCTGCGAGTAAGCGAAGAACAAGCAAGAAACTAAGATTGCAATCTGGATATTGCGAATATAAGAGGAAAACTTTATTAATGAAGGTGGGGTTCTGTGACACCTTTGTCTGGTTGTCGAACACAAACAAAGTACGCGAAGTTGCAGCTATGGCAAATTTTAATATAAACAAAACCCAAAGTCTGAACGATGCCCTTAGGGCTGTATATATGGAGGAGAGAGGGAGGGAATTTCGTGACCCTTGGAGGAGGGGTCCAAAACCAACCCTAACTCTTGTTGGGGAACGTTGCAGAAAACAAAAAAAATTCCTACAGTTTCACCAAGATCCATCTAGGAGTTCATCTAGCAACGAGTGATTGGATTGCATCTACATACCTTTGTAGATCACGCGCGGAAGCGTTCAAAGAACGTGGATGAGGAAGTCGTACTCGACGTGATCCGAATCACTGGAGATCCTAGCGCCGAACGGACGGCACCTCTGCGTTCAACACACGTACGGTCAGCGTAACGTCTCCTTCTTCTTGATCCAGCAAGGGGGAAGGAGAGGTTGAGGGAGATGGCTCCAGCAGCAGCACGACAGCATGGTGGTGATGGAGCTGCAGTACTCCGGCAGGGCTTCGCTAAGCACTATGGAGGAGGAGGAGGTGTTGGAGAGGGAGAGGGAGGCACCAAAGGCAAGGTTAGGAAGTCCTCCATCTCCCCACTATATATAGGAGGGCCAAGGGGGGGCGCCGGCCCTAGGAGATCTAATCTCCTAGGGGGGTGCGGCCAAGGGGAGGAATCCCTCCTCCCCAAGGCACCTAGGAGGTGCCTTCCCCTCCTAGGACTCTTCCTTTAGGGTTTCCCCCACCCTAGGCGCATGGGCCCTAGGGGGAAGTGGCGCCCCAGCCCACTTTGGGCAGGATCCCTTCCCACTTCAGCCCATGGGGCCCTCCGGGATAGGTGGCCCCACCCGGTGGACCCCCGGGACCCTTCCGGTGGTCCCGGTACAATACCGGTGACCCCGAAACTTGTCCCGATGGCCGAAATAGCACTTCCTATATATAATTCTTTACCTCCGGACCATTCCAGAACTCCTCGTGACGTCCAGGATCTCATCCGGGACTCCGAACAACATTTGGGTTACTGCATATACATATCCCTATAACCCTAGTGTTACCGAACCTTAAGTGTGTAGACCCTACGGGTTCGGGAGACATGTAGACATGACCGAGATCGCTCTCCGGTCAATAACCAACAGTGGGATCTGGATACCCATGTTGGCTCCCACATGCTCCTCGATGATCTCATCGGATGAACCACGATGTCGAGGATTCAAGCAACTCCGTATACAATTCCCTTTGTCAATCGGTATGTTACTTGCCCGAGATCCGATCGTCGGTATCCCAATACCTCGTTCAATCTCGTTACCGGCAAGTCACTTTACTCGTACCGTAATGCATGATCTCGTGACCAGACACTTGGTCACTTTGAGCTCATAATGATGATGCATTACCGAGTGGGCCCAGTGATACCTCTCCGTCATACGGAGTGACAAATCCCAGTCTTGATCCATGTCAACCCAACAGACACTTTTGGAGATACCCGTAGTATACCTTTATAGTCACCCAGTTACGTTGTGACATTTGGTACACCCAAAGCACTCCTACGGTATCCGGGATTTACACGATCTCATGGTCTAAGGAAAGGATACTTGACATTGGAAAACTCTAGCAAACGAACTATACGATCTTGTGCTATGTTTAGGATTGGGTCTTGTCCATCAAATCATTCTCCTAATGATGTGATCTCGTTATCAATGACATCCAATGTCCATAGTCAGGAAACCATGACTATCTGTTGATCAACGAGCTAGTCAACTAGAGGCTTACTAGGGACATGTTGGTGTCTATTATTCACACGTGTATTACGATTTCCGGATAACACAATTATAGCATGAATAAAGACAATTATCATGAACAAGGAAATATAATAATAATGCTTTTTTTATTGCCTCTAGGGCATATTTCCAACAGTCTCCCACTTGCACTAGAGTCAATAATCTAGTTACATTGTGATGAATCGAACACCCATGGAATTCTGGTGTTGATCATGTTTTGCTCTAGGGAGAGGTTTAGTCAACGGATCTGCTACATTCAGGTCCGTGTGT